TCGAAGAAACCAATATCAAAAAACAAAAAGGTGGTCCTTTGCCCCTAGAACTCCCATTTTGTCGGTTATTCCTTTCTCCTGAAGTCCTGATGCAACAATTAAAAAAAAGAAAATCAAAGCGGTATATACCTCACGCTGTCAAATGAGGCGTACAATTTAGTGTCAAGAGGCATCTCAGTGCAATTTTGGCACAATTTTGAAGAGTCGTAAGAGTCAAGATTAAGGTTCAGGTAACTTTAAAATTTTATTTATAAACTTTATAAATAAACCAAACCAAGCAAAATTTGAGAAGAACCAAGATGCCACAAACTTGTATCCACACATTGCAAGACCTTTATGCTCACAATCCTGTTATGCAGCCAATCATTATTGTGCTACAACCGTGGTTCCGCTGCACTTCCCCTCCAACACCTCTACTCATGTTGTCGGTAACATATCTTTGTTTTAGTACGTAACATATCTTTGTCTTAGTACAAAGGATGAGAGAAAATAACTAGCAACAATAATGATTCTAATAAAAACTCTCTAAGTGATTCGAGTAGCGGTAATGCGGCCCTATGAATTCATAAATTATGACTATAAACTACTTGCTTATAATAAAATGGGAATGGGAAAGACTTCGTATTTAGTGTTGCAACCAACCATGCATGACTTTTAATGTTCTTTGATATTTTAGGAGCTTACTTTGATATCTTACTTTGATGTTCAAATTGCTACTTATTATTTTATATTTTTCATGGAATTAATGGCTTAATTCTAAGGCATATGCCTCAAAATACCTCAAAGCTTACTGCTCACTTCATGAAAAAAAACACCTTTATACCTGATCATGCAATTTTAAACCTTTGTTTTTATGTAGGTTTACAAGATTAAAGGGACATAGAAAAAATGAAACTGTCGTCACACTGATTAGCACTTTCCCACCTACTAAGAGAGCTTTATAAATCCTCCTTCCCTGTTCATTATTTGTAGATGTTATCCATGACATGTAAACCTATTCGAGCAACATTGTTGCACTTTAACTATGTTATTTTTGGTGATAGGGGTTTGACATTTTAAGCACATGGTTCGTGCTTTACTGCTCCATCACATTCAAAGTCGATTTATGGACAATTTTACCACATTCACTTTCATTCAGATACAACCATTTAAGGGCAATACTCCAAATATGCACATCAAATAGTATTATCTATGCTCCAAACTTAAAATACTAACTAGTTAAGGAAGGAAGATGAATATACTACAAACGATTTTAATAGCTGGGGCATAACATGTGCTAGCCAAAAGTGTTTTCTACCAGCAGATAACAAAAAAGTATTTTACATGGCTAATCTAAGGGGATGTTTGGTAGCACTTTTTAATAGGATTTATCACGGGATTTACTAAATCCAGTCAAACATTAAAATGAAGGAGTTTTGTGGATTTATGAATTTTCGGATTTAGGTTCCCAAATTTTCCCTTAGATTCAGCTTAAATCCGGATTTACTAAATCCAGGGGCAGGCTGAATTTGACAGATTTACTAAATCCTATTTGCAGCCAAATACCCCCTAAAGTCGTGCAAGTGCAATAAAGAAAGAAACGAATCACAGCACAAAACTATACATTTTTCCAGTCACAACGCAGTTCAATAAAAAATAATCACAAATTTACAATTTCCAAATACTACTAACAAGTCTTTGAATGTCTTACCTATTATTCCCTTCCTCATCCTGACCCGGCTCAGAATCGTAATTTGCACCGCCTGCTCTACCTTCCTCCAAATCCCTCGGGGAGCTTGGACCAGAACTTCCCTGACTCCTACCTCCTTGGCTTCCATTTCCACCATACTCCAAACCCAAAGCCGATTGCTGTTGTGGATGCCTCCTCCGATACTCCACGCAGACGCAGATCATATGAAGCACACACTGCAGTGCATATCCCACGATCCATATCCTCAGCGGCATCGTCGGCTTCTCGTCCCTACTCATGATCAAAACCCCCGTCGCCACCCCAACGAACGCCAGATTCCACAAGATGTCTAAAAATACCACTGGCTTCGAGTAGGCCCAGTCGCTCTGCCGTTCCTCAAGCTGCTCCGCCGCAGTCTCCCTCACAAGCATCGACGGCTCCCTCATCATCCGACGGCTGCTCGCCCTCCGCAGAAACCTCGCCGCCCCACTCAAGCCTGGCCGCCGGGACGCTCGCCGAGCGCGCTCATCTCCGTTTCCGCCACGCAGGCCAATCAGCGGTGCAGGGTCGATCCCAACTCCCCCCATCGGATTGATCGCCCTCGTCGCAGACATCGCAGAGATCCAGCACTCAACAAATAGCAACTGGTGGAAAATCTACAGTCGGGGATGAAGATATACAAACCCTAGCGCTTCCGATCGGCTCGATTTCGCCCCAATAATTGATCGGTAACTTACATGCGGGATTAACGTAATCAAGGCGACGATGGCTGCGATCTCCGATGCGCACATTTCGCCATTTTCAGAAATTGCTATCGCCGGATGAAAATTACGGGAAAAAAGCAGAGAGAAATCCGATGAGACACTGCGAATTTGCGCTTAACTCGACTTGATTGAATTCCTTTACATGTATACCACATAATCTTTAAATGTTTAGGTAATTTATATATAAGTTTAATTTTATTCATAAAATATTTAATCATTATATAATCTGTCTGATAGTCGCATCCAAGAAGTATATTGAGGGATAATGTAATTTTTTATCAAAGGAATGGTCTCATATTTATAGTCAGAAGGGTACATTATGTATAATTACATATGTGCCCCTATTTTAATGCGGAAGTTATAGTGTATTTTGGATATTTACATAAATGAATCTATGAATTGGTTACTCTGTCAAATGATCGGTTGAGATTAGTTGGCCTTAGGTCGGCAAGGCTCACTCGTATGACCATGCGGAGTTGGGGATTGTTGATTTGCTCATGTTAATCTTTAATCGTCGGGACATGGCTCTGTTGGATTAAGTCTATCAGTCTGCTACTATAATTTCACTGCCCACTATCGACTCATAAATGAGGAGGTTTTATCACTAGGATGAGACTAAAATGTCGGGTTAAGGGTGAATCATGGTAATTCGGCAGGTAGCTCATCCATTGACAAAAATTCTTCGAGGCATTCGTGGAACATACCATGGTGGAACCTTCAGCCTTTTAATGAAGAGTTTCATATGCTCTTATGAGGCGGCTAACGTTGCCGAGGTGAGAGTTGGGCTGAAGCCCCTCTTGGCTATATGATATTTATTTTTTTTAATTTTGAATGTGGGTTTTATGGACCTTGGTCATTAACTCAGGCGGCCTATGTCCAGTCAACTTTGAATCTCGATCGAAGGAATTTGCATTTTGTCAATCAAGTCATTTGATCTTCTCATGACGGGGTTGTAAGTCTTCCTCGGGCCATCCCAAACAATAACTTTATTTCACTTAATCCGTTGGATTTCTTTAAGATTCGTGTTGATGCATTTCTAATGTACAATAATCATAACAAATTTATACAAAAAAAAATGTATTTCATCTTTAAAAAATAATACAATGTTATTTTTATAAAGCGTCAAGACCTTTAATATTACATAAATAAATATTATAACTTTAAGTATTGTTTGTAAAATACAAATCATTTTAAATTATATTCAAATATTAGTCATATATATATATATATATATATATATATATATGTATGTATGTATGTATGTATGTATGTACATGTATGTATATAAACGAAATAAATGATTTTTTTTATTCATTGTATATTAATCTAATGTTGAACTTGTATATATGTATATAGTGTTACTTTATAAGTAATTAAATATACTACTGACTATTATTTTCTCGTATAATTTATTTTTTTATGAAAATTTATGTGAAATCATAAAGTTGATAATTATTTATTGTATGACCACTGGATTTATTATATTTTTTTAATCCAATTAAATTTAAATTTATTCATATAATATAAATCAATTAAAGAATAGGAGAACATAGCCCAAATTTAATTTCTCTCTTAAGGAGGAGTACAAAGAGTTTGAGCACAAGGCAAAAAAAGGACTTTGAAATAACTTTTGCTCCAAGCTTTCTAAGAAATTAGAAAATAAACCTTAAATATTTATTTTGCTTTTTTATTATTTTATTATTTTCATAGATGCTTCCATCACCAATATTTTAAATATAGTGTCTGTTTGAGACGACGATACTGCGGTGATGCGGCACCGCATCAATTTTATCTGTTCTTTAGATAAATTGTGTTCTATAAGCTTTTTCAAAAAACTGTCACTGAAACCTACGTTTTCCCGTCGGTCTTGACTATATGCAGTTACAGTTTTCTAGCTGCTATATGACATTTAATTAAAAAAATTATAATAAACATAACTTTTTGAGCATCAGATTATTTTTCAACAGCTTCACAACTACTTTTTAATAAGCTGCAACAACCCCTTCAGCAGCTTCACAACTGCTTTTTAATAAGCTGCAACAACCCCAAAAAAATTTTTTTTCTTTTGAAAAGATGAGTGTAAAAGTAATATATATGAAAAAAACCCACGAACTCATAGTGAGAACTATACCTTCAATCACTATCACAAATAAGCATGCAAATATAGTATTTCATATTCAAATTGATAAATTACATTTTCACTAATTATAGTTCTTAATGATACTAAAATGAAGTGTGACGTGAAATATTTTCATAATCAACTTGATAAGTTAGATTTTCACAAACTATACATCTTAATATATGTGTGTAAGGTAAAAATATATATATTTACAAATCAACCCCTGAGAGAGAAATTTGTAATATTACAACAAAAAGAGCACGAATCTTTAAAAAAAATATAAATAAAAAAATATTATTGTGCATTACATTTTCACACCAAACCAACACCAAAAAATTATTTATGTAATTTCATTAAATTATGTGGGGGAAAAATAGATGTGCGGAAAAATAGAACTAATTTATATGAAATCTTATTACATTTTCTATTTATTTTTTGCTTCTTTCTATGGAATTAAGCGCTGAATCAGTTCTGGAGAAGCGGCGGCGAGCTCTGGGAAGGAAAGATCAAGAGTTCTTAAGGGTAAAGTTGTAATAACAATTGATGTAAAAATAAAAAGAAGCAATTACATAAAAAGCACTTGAAATTTTGTTATTTGCATAATTCATCTGTTTTTCAAGTTCTCGCAAATATCAAAATTTATAATAAAATCTCGACTAGTATTTTTTTTATTTTTGTCAAATTTAAGTGCATCCATTTCCAAATAAAAGATAGAGAGAGAGAGTTTGAATTGATGATGAAAAAATTATTCCATACGAAATGCATGCGGTGTCGGACATGCACCGCTCATCACACTCCATCCATTTAAAAAAAAAAA